CGCAGGTGCGGGCGCAGGTGCGGGCGCAGGCGCAGACTGCGCCGCCGCCCATCCCCATGGACGTCTGGGACATGTAAGGCTGTCCATCGGAGATGGCCAGGGATCCCAGTGGCCTGCCGTTGAAATGTGTTATCCTCCTCCTCCTCCTCCTTCTGCGCCCTTTCCTCCTCCTCCTCCTCCTCCTCCTCCTTTTCCTCCCTCTCCTTCTCCTCCTCCTCCTCCTCCTCCTCCTCCTCCGCCTCCTCCCCCTCCTGCCCATCACTCTCGTTCCCGCCCATCCTCGTTCCATTTCCAATTCGGCATGCCCCGTCCTCGGTGGAAATTCACGTGCAATCCACGTTCTCTGTCGGTCAACCCAGCCGCGTCAATGAAGCCGTGGCGACGACGTCAGCGGGTTCAAACCGTTGCGACTCCCGTGGGCGAGTCCAGCCGTGGCGATTTACGACATAACGTTGGGCCCAACGAATCCAGCCGTGGCGACCAGGGCTCGTGCGAATCCTGCGGTGGCGACGAGGACAATGCTAAATGAAACAATGCATGTCATAGTAGGCATCCCACCATCGCCAACACACAAAACGATAATATATGCATGCTGCGTTTTCTGGACGAACGGGCATCCAATGCTATACTGAAACACGCTGGGCCACACGACAAACCAAGGCTTTCGTTCCCACCTCCACCTCTCCTCCTCCTCCTCGTGGTCATCGAGGCCCGAGCCGTTTTGGCGCATGGACGGAATCAGCTGGATCCACCCGCCAAGAGGTCGAGCTTGGTCCACGCCGATCGGGCGCCTCCTGCTGATGAGCAGCCAGCAGGTAGACACTCCAGGTGACACGCAGCCGAGCGGCAGCTCTACTCAGCAAGCGTCATCGCAGGACGTTCGCGCCGCGATGTCCTCTAGGGGGAGTGGCGACACGCAACTTGACGAGGAAGCTGCTCACGGGGCAGAGCAGCCAGAGAGTTCAGCAGGTCAGCCAGAGAGTTCAACAGGTCAGCCAGCGGGACAGGGCGTGTCCTCAGCAGAGCAGCCGCCCAGCACCATCCCGACCGACGGCGCCGAGGATGAGCCCGATGCGCACAAGCACGCAGCTCTCGTGGAGCGCCTCAAGAAGCAGCTTGAGGAGGCCAACATCGCGAGGGCCAAGCTGTGGGAGGAGCGGAAGGCTCTGGAGAAGATGAACCTCGAGTGGCAGCAGCAGCGCTCACAGGACTCCAGATCGTAATTTCAAATCCAGCCTATAGCATTGAAGCCATGACAAGATGCTTCATTCGTACTCTCTTGTTCCACCCAACGGTCACATCTCAGGGCGGGGCTGGGTCGAGAGAACGAATGAACAACATAAGTGCATGGTGTGTCCGTGAGGAGATCGCGCGTGGCGTGGAGGCAAGCCGCACGTTCATCCAGGTAGCTGACTCACCACCAGCTGGCGGCGATGCCCGTACTGTGGCTCCTCCTGGAGAGGTCATCGGAGACGCTGCTGATGAGCTTCCAGTGGCAGAGGGCGAGGCAACCCAGGAGGGCACGATGATCTATGATGCTGAGGATGGCAAGGAGTTGGCGACCGAGGAGGCTGAGAAGGGCAAGGGTGAGGGTGGCGTGACGATCCCTGAGGTTATTATGGAGGGCCACGGAAACGGGGACGCCGTCGACAGTGACGATGAGCAGCTGCAACAGGTATTCGAAGAGTCCAGGAGGATTGCAAAGGAGCATAAGGAGCTGGATCAAGCAGCGGAGACGATGGAGAACACGTGGCTCCAGGCGGCCATCACAGCTTCGGAGAAGACCTGCAAGCGCCGCCAGCGCTCGTCGAGTCGGGACGGCCGTGGCCCCACCGCCGCCCACTCCTGGAGCATGGCATCTCCAGCGCCATCGAACATGAGCAAGAAGCGCGATGCCTCGACGGAGCCGCCGAGGAGCATGAAGTCACGGCAGCCAGAGGATACGCCTGAGCGTCGGGCTCATGCGAAGATGAGAGCCGCCGATGGTGGGCGCCGACCTTCGCCGATCCCCTCAACGCAGCGTTCGCCTTCAGTGATAGTCAGCAGCGACGGGGAGCCCTCTGAGAGCAAGCTCGCAAAGCGTCATCGTGAGAGACGCCATCGTCGTAGGCAGCGCCTGGCGGAGAGCGACACCGAGAGCCGCGACGAGTCGCACGTCCCGAAGAGGCAGCGGAGCAACGCGTCGATTAAGGATATCAGGGCTAAATCGAGCCCAGATCACGCCCACACCCAGGAAGCTAGATTGGCGTCAACTGCGCGTGGGTGGGGGGGGTGTGATGTCTCCTTTAGCGGGGCAGCCATGACACCCAGCCAATCCCCACCGTTTCGAAAGATGGGTGGAGGTCAGCCCAAACCACACGAGCAGAATGGAGGGATGTATGCAAGGGGGGGGTGGGAAACGATGCCCCACCATTGATGCAGCCGCAACCCCAGGAGAGGCGCGGCGTGGCTTCTGCGTACAGCACGCCCGAGAAGGTGCACACAGTCAATGCGGCCAGGGAGACGTACCAGACTACCCAGAAGACGGTCGAGGCATGGATGGGGGTCGTATATGCACTGAGCAGGGGCTGGGCCAGCAACGCGAGAGAGGAGCAGTGGATGCTGCGAGTTCCATTGCTCCTCCCTTGTGTGGCTGGCACGCCCTGTGACGCGTATATCAACCACCTAGAGCTCAGCAGGGGCTGCTGCGCGGGGATGGGTCGCTCGACGAGCTTGCCGTCATCGATTGCATGCACGACCTCTTCATGTCCAAAGTCCAGGGTGATCTCATGAAGGCCAAGGGATTTCACGACACCAGCCTGAAGGCACCTCCTGGAGCGTTCGAGGCAAGCGACCATGCTGACGACCCGAGCAAGAAGGAGAAGGCCAGCGACGAGTCCGCCATGACGGTCGGAGACGGCGAGAAGACCCGCATCCCTGACGATCAGTTGTCGGCCAAGGACAAGCTGGAGCTCGAGTTCTGGAAGAAGTACATCAGTGACGACTTCTGCTTCAGCGCGAATGCCCGTGGCGGGAACGCGCTGGCCTCGAGGTTCGAACGGGCGCTGAAGAAGAGCCAGAAGGCGGAGACCGAGGAGGGCAAGCAGCTCGCCAAAGACTACGGCGCCGCCAAGGGCAACGACCAGGCGCTCGCCGACTTCCGCCAGGAGTGGGCCAGGAAGGAGTACACGGGCTGGGCCAACAAGCGCCTGTACACGGTGTCCTACACTAAGACGCGCATCACCATGGGCTACTACTTGCCCCTTGGGCGGATCGCCCACAAGGAGGGCGGAGGCAAGGCGGGCTGGATGCAGGCTTGCGCAAGCCTTCTCTTCAATATCCACCCTCCTTCACGCACTCCTCCTCAGCCTGCTCCTCCTCCTCCTCCTCCTCCTCCTCCTCCTCCTCCTCCTCCGCCTCCTCCTCCTCCTCGTCATCCTCCTCGTCTACATCCTCGGTGTCCTTCCAGTGCCTGGGGCTCACCACATCTCCCTCATCCTCCGTCGCCGCCCCTTCAACCTTCTCTTGCTCGACCCCCATCCCCATCCACATCATTACTCCCCCCTAAGAGGCTACGAAATACTTCGTGAAAGCGCTCCAGATGGGGCCGCCATGGATAGCATACGACGACATGACGGACTGGGGGGGCTCAAAACTGATCTGACCTTGACACCTGGAGCGTGGGGGTATACTGTAGACCCAGGAGGTGAATGATGAGGCGAGGGATGGGATGAGGAGAAGGATGCGGAGGGGGGGAGGAGGAGGAGGAGAATGAGGATGAGGAGGAGGAGGAGGATGAGGAGGAGGATGATGATGAGGAGGAGGAGGCGGATGCGGAGGAGGGAGGGAGGGATGGAGGGATGGAGGGAACGCGAGGATGAGGATATGGAGACGGATGAGGAACGGGGGGCGGCTGCTTGGATAGTGACGAGAACGAAGATGGCGGGGGGCAACACGTGCTGTGGGGCAACCCATTGCCCCATCCTCTCAGGAGTCGCTGCGAGCACTGTACATCATCAGGGGGTTCAAGGACACGTTTTCGAGGGCCTGGACTGATCACCAGGAATGGATGAACGACGCCTCGGCGACTACGTGCACCGAGAAGGTCACGGACCGAGGTGTGCAAATCCGCTTGGGAGGAGGGCCTTGTTCGGCTTCCGTCCTCAAGTCATGACCGTCGCCCTCCATGTGCCAGAAACTCCTCCCCGATGGCGCCTAGCGCGTTCCCTCTCGAGCATGTCATCGCACGTGTCATCGCAGATGACGCGCGCGATGACGCGACTGCTTCGTGTGGGAGGGTACGCGCAAGGCCACTCGGCGAGGGAGTTCGCTGACAGAAATTGGGCGACAGTCATCCCTTGAAGGCTGCATCGCTGGCCAAGTCGCTGGGCATTAATGCGACGTACACCCCAGCGGGCCAGGAGCGATCGCGAGGGGATACTTTCAAATAAACCCAACGACTAAACGGATGAATGGATGAATACGCATTGAGGGGACGCAGTAGCTCAGGGGAGAGGAGAGGCGAGGCGAGGAGAGGAGAGGTGAGGAGAGGAGAGTTTTGTGGTTACGGGATGGGGTCAGCTGATGTGTAAACCACGCCCAGAAAGGAGAGCATCGCTGGCCAGGGCGCAGCACCAGCTGGCAGCGCTGACAGCGCAGCAGCATCGGGCAGCGCTGGCGCGGTTGTCGGTGCTCCAGGTGGACAGCCCGCCGCAGGTGCATCGGGCAGCGCTGGCACGGCAGCATCGGGCGGCGCTGGCACGGCACAGGCTCCAGGTGGACAGTCCGCCAAGGATGCCAAGCCTGCCGAGACGGGAACGCCGCCGCCGACGCCGAGGCCCTCGCCAACCCCGACTTCCAGGGGCGCCCAGGACGGGGGGGCGTTAATTCTGGATGACGAGCTCCCAGGACACATGAGGTAAGACGAATGCAGCTCGAGCTGTTGCATTCGTTGAGCTTCTATGCCCTGGAAGATGCGATTCCAGAACGCCCCCCTCCCGAATGCAGGGCAGAGCGGGGAGGCAGCAGAACGTTTCTGGGGACATCGTGACAGAGGCCAAGAAGACGCTTGCGAAGTACACGACAGTGACGAGCTCCAGCGAGACCATCATCGCCGCCATGAAGGGGGACAAAACCTGGAAGTTCGCGAACACTGACGAGGACGGGGACAAGCTCAAGGCCACGATGACGAAGGTGCGCACGACGTGCGCGGACCACATTGGCGATCTCAATTCCTGCCCCCGCCACCGCCAGGGCCAACGCCACCTCCACCGCCAGGGCCAACACCACCGCCACCACCACCACCACCACAACCTCCACGTGCCTTCCTAGATGGGGCCGAAGCCGCGGATGATGGACAGGCGAGGAGGTGGTGTAGGAGGTGTAGGAGGTGGAGGGGGAGGATGAGGAGGGTGAAAATGAGGAGGAGGCGGAGGAAGAGGAAGAAGAGGCGGAGGATGAGGAGGAGGAGGAGGAGGCGGAGTCGAGGTGGAGGAGGAGGAGGATGAGGCAGAGGTGGAGGATGGACGATGCGGAGAGGATGAGGAGTGTTGTTTTGCGAACCACGCCTGAGGACAGAGACCTCTCGGCGCTGCTCACCAATGGACTGGCCAAGACGCAGAAGTCACTCAGCGAGAAGAGTTTCGTGGCGGTCATCAACAAGCTGAACGCCCTGGAGAAGGACCTGGACAAGCTGAGCAAAATCAACAGCAGGCTCATGCGCATGCACGACGCCAAGAAGGACTCCAGCGATGAGGGCAATAGTGAGCTGCCAGCCAGGAAGGCCGCCCGCAAGCGGTCGGCCAGGGGCTGATCGCGCCAGCTATGTCCGCGACGCAGAGCGCTTCGCCTAGCAAGCCGCACGCACTGGGCGCAGGGCGCGGATTGAAACACACCATCTTCAGAAACAGCCCCGGAATCCGACGATGATCAAATCTGGGGCCCCCGACGACGCGGTGAGCAGAAATTTCAGTTTTTTTCAAAAAAAAAAAAAGTTTAGCAAAATCCGACCGCGAACCGACCGATGACACCCGATGACGGTCATCGCCGATGACGCCCGATGACACCCGATGACACCCTATGCGATGACTCGATTTTTACAGGGTATCGCACGTGTCATCCCCGATGACGGTCATCGCCGATGACTGTCATCGATGACACCCGATGACCGATGACACCCGATGACACCCCTGCACACCTCGCCCGAGCCCAACGTTTGCACTTTTTCGTGACGCGCAGGCGTCTTGCTTCAGTTTAGGTGCGCGGGTGCGGCTCGATACCGTTGTATTCTGCTCGAGCGGGCTTGCGATATGCGATGTGTTCTGCCTTCAATGCCAGACGGCCCTGGACGAGGGGAACTGTCCCGAGGTCGCCTACCTTTCAAGTGGCAGAGATCACGCCAATGTAGTGATTGGCATATCGCGGCCCGCATATACGTGACGAAGGGTGACATCGCACACCTCCATGCACCCTGCAGGCCAACCCGTCGGTTTCGAATTCTGGACCTGGTCGCTTGACAAAGTTGACCGCGCACGAGCGGTCACCCTTCTTCACTTAGCGACTCGTGGCACGCGCATGCGTGCGATCACTCACGGACAGCGCATCTGACCCTGTCCGCTGTGATCGGCACGGCCCGCGGCGTTAGCCATGCCTCTTGCAATGCGTTGCGGATTCGATTGATAGACAACGTCGTGGGCATTTGGGGGCCCCGAGTAGTTCGAACTGGTTGAATATCGGGCCATGTTGCTACACGATGCTTGAGGTACCATGATGAGGTGGATGAGGTGGCTGAGGATGATGAGGAGGGAGGAGGGAGGAGGAGGGAGGGGTGGAGGGATGGACGGACAGAGGGAAGCAGGATGGCGATGGGGGGAGAACGGGAGGGATGTAGGGACAGTGGGCGGAGGATGATGGATAGGAATAGGATGAGGACGGCGATGATGAGGAGCGAGATGCGGGGGGATGGAGGGCAGGATGGAGGGCGGGAAGGGGTGTGAAAGTAGCAAGGTATGGCGCGCCAGGACGCCGCAGAGGAGGACGAACGACTGATGAGTACGAGAAGGAGCAAGAGGGACACTGCGATCTGGTGGACCCTATATCCAAGTGCGCACTCATTCGTGAAACATGCCTGGGCCTCGGGGCCCCTCTCGAACTTCCGCGCTCGTTTTCAATGCCTCTCTCTCCTCTGTCATCCTCTGATGAGAGCCCCCTTCGTCTCGACCTTTGCAACTGGCCGCCTACCCCCGCGGAGTGCGCACGTGGAAGTCGGACTCACGCTCACTCAGGGGGGGTGCTCTCTCTCTCTCTCTCTCTCTCTCTCTCTCTCTCTCTCTCTCTCTCTTTCTCTGCTGTCTCCCCGCGCCGCCCTGGGCATCGCTCCTCTGTTCTACTTGATCGACCTGCAGGCGCCCCCGTGCTTGCACCCCCCGCGCGTGCCACCGCGCCCGTGCTGGCCCGCACCTGCCGCCCCTCGTTCTGTTGTGCACCACTTGTGACGAGACCGAATCTGAAACCTGGAGAGGGTCGCATGACGGGGGGATGTGGCGCGCATGGAAAACCCCGAGATGCCGGATTAAGACGCACACCCCACCGTGTCATCGCACATGTCATCGCATATGACATTGGCGATGACATCCCATGCCCCCCATGAAATAGCCCCACCTCCCCTCATGTCTCTACACCTGCTCACCTTCTCATCCTCCGCCACCTCCCATCATCCTCCACGTACCATCTCTCCTGCCATATATGTGGTTCGAAGCTGTTGGCATTTTGCCCAGCCATGCCCCACTGGCGTGGTCTTCCCAGTGCTGTCCCGTTTTCTCGTGCTCATGGCTCCACGTCGGAAAGCAACTTGCCGTTCGCCGAAACAGAAACGTGCAAGCAGGAGGGTGCGCGAGGGGCGACGTCCAGGACGCAGCACTCAAACAGAGAGGGATGCTGGGTCTAAGTTGCTTGAGCTGCTGCTCAGGCTTTATAGTTCGGCCAAGCTCTCGGCACTTGAATTCTGCCAAGCGTGCCACTGGGCAGCACACGCTGGCACCCCTGGCGCGGCGTTTCACATGCATGGACTGCCACCCGCCCAGCAGACGGGTAAGTACCAAGCACATTTGGACAGAGTCTTGCCAGATGTGAAGCACCTGACCACAATCGCGACGCCATGCAATGTTAATCGACGGGCTGCCAGATCAGTCCGAGACATCTTGGTTCGGTGTGCCTGGGACAGTGTTGAGGACGAGCTAGCTGCTGAGTCATCTTGGCAGCATATGCTCGCCACGCCACTTGACGATGTGGGTTGTGAAACTGTGATGGAGCTTCCAGTATATCAGAATCATCCGATGGTGTTGCAGGCGCAGCGCGACGGCTTGCCCAGGCCGCTCCCGCTCGCATTCTATTTAGATGGGGTGCAATATCGAGCGCCTGCGGCAGGCAGGACGGACTCGGTGCTTGGGATGTGGTGCATCAACTTGCTTTCGAATAAGCGACACCTGATCAGTGTGCTTCGGAATTCAGACCAGTGCACCTGCGGCTGCAAGGGCTGGTGCAGTATCTACCCGCAGCTACAGGCAGCGCAATGGATGTTCGAAGCCATGAGCAATGGCCAACGACCCCAACGCAGATGGGATGGTTCTGCGTGGCCCCCGTCATCTGATATTGGACAGAAAGCGGCGGCGTTCCCTCACTTGTCCTACACGGCGGCCATCATATACATCAAGGGTGACTGGTCGGAACACGCACATTCACTGGGACTTGCACCTTGGAGCAGCACGTGGTCGCCTTGCCAGTTCTGTACGCTGGCGAAGTTCGAGCTCCATTCTATGTATGATGGGCTGGCAGACGAGATGGTGTGGCAGCTCAGGGACGGCACCAGCTACGAGGAGGCATGCGCGAAGTGCGAGGTCAAACTCACGCTGCGCACGAACGCTGATAGGGACGCCTTGCTTGAAGCCGTGCGGTGGAAGAAATCAACAAAGACAGGGCCAGGAAGCGGGCGGCGTATGATCCGCGATGTCATTGTTTGCGAAGTATCGATCCTCAAAGATGACCGCCTGGAGCCGTCGCCCGAACTGCCAGACATAGCAATGCTGGACACGATGAAACTCCCAGTCAGCATCGTACTTTGGCGGACCCACAAGGACCACATGGGCAGAAGCACAGATCCCGTGACGCACCGCTGTCCTATGTTCGCACGCTGTATCGGCACAACACCTCACGACTCTTTAGCCGTGGACGAGCTTCATTGTCTGTATTTTGGGCCGATCATGAAATACGTATCTGCCTGCCTTTGGAGGGTGGTTCTTGCAAATGCATGGCAGTTCACTGGTACGGTCGACCAGATTATCGACCTAGGCACGCGCCAAGTGTCAGCTGCATTGTTGGATTGGCAAGACGCTAACCAGGTGCCGCCCAACCAGCGGCTGAGCGGGCTCACGACCAAGATGTTGGGGAAACGGTTGGGCCACACCACGCGGGACACTTGGGACTCTAATCTGTTGGGGGAGTTTGGTGGCAAACTGTGTGGTTGGCGTGCTTAGCGACGCACCGCGTTTCCTCCGCCTCCTCAGCCTCTTCATGCTCCTCCTCCTCCTCCTCCCCCAACTCATCTTCCCCCTTCCTCCGCTTACCATCCTCCTTCTCCACTGTCTCCTCATCCTCCGCCTCCTCCCGCGCCTCCTCCTCATACTCTTCACCACCGCCCATTGCCTCCCCTTGCACTCCGCAATGGACGGGCAGAAACGCGCTCGAAAACGAACCACAACCATGGATGACCCAGGCGATAAAGGATACGGTCGAGGGGTGCCTCCGGAATTCAGATGACGTGGAAGAGGAGGGGGATTACGGGGAAACGAATGACGGGCGGTGGATGAGGAGGGGGATGGTGGAGGATGAGGGAGGGAGCAGGATGAGTGGAGGAGGCTGAGGAGGGCGTGTGCGGGAGAAGGAGGATGTTATCAGAGCGGTTACGGCATCGCAGATGACATGTCATCGCACGTGTCATCTGCGATGACATGTGCGATGACATGTCATCGCACGTGTCATCGCACGTGTCATCGCAGACGACATCTGCGATGACGCGTGTCATCGCACGTGTCATCGCAGATGACGCGTGCGATGACGGTACATGTAGTTTTGATGTCCGCCCCTTTGGCAGCCGATGTCACCAGGAGAGGATGCACCCTGGAAGCAAAATGAGCTTGAAGGCTGCCGAGTGCGGACTGTTGTTGCCGTTCGCGATGCAGGCCGTCCAGCAGTTTGGGGGTACTGATCTCCATGGACCATATCTCTACCCAGCTGGTGAATCCCTGATGCAGCTGATGACCGCCATCAGGAAACATAGAATAGTCGTGCCCGCGCCAGAGTATAATATTATGGTTTCGAGTTTGGACTTGCACCTAAGACTTTGCAGGGCGTGTTGTATTACCTTCTGGCCGAAACATCACCTAACTGTCCACATGATCTACAGGCTGGTTTTGGGTTTGGAAACACCTAACTTTCGAATCTACCGCACGTGGCCAGTAGATTGAGCAATGTTGAACAATACTGGACAACATTGAAACATGAAAGGCAAGGGAAGGGAAGGGATATGAGAACGGTGCAGAGTAAGCATGGATCATGACAGATCCAGTGCGTAAACAACAATAACAAAAAACATCCAGGGTACCTGATCAGGGTTCTCCTCGCGTGTACAACTGTTTCCTGGGTGAGGGGCTCAACGCGGACCTCAGATCGTTGGCAATATACGCACATCGTGCGAAATTCGAGATCCGTGTTTTCTCTATGTGGGACATTCAAAGTGCTCTGGGAGTCTCTCGTCAC